CGTGAGGCGACGAAGAAAACTGGTTTCGGTTGCTCGCTTAAGGTGGAAAGCGAGTGTGTGGTGAAAATATTATAAGTGAAAATTTGTTGAAATAAAATAATTTTTAACTCACCGATAGAATACCGGCGTGATGACGGTGAAATCGGGCAGATGCGAACCGCCCGCTTGTGGATGATTGGACAATATAACGTCGCCGTTCTTTAAGCTATCGCCGCGCACGCGCAATTGATATTGCACCGTCTCCTGCATGGCGCCCAAGTGGACGGGTATGTGTGGCGCATTGCTCACAAGGCCACCGTCGGGACCGAAGAGCGCGCATGAAAAGTCGAGACGCTCCTTGATGTTGGTCGAAATCGATGTGCGTTGTAGCACTCTTTAAAAATTATCGGCAAATAATTGCAAAAGTTCGCTATAAAATATACTTTAACATAGGTTTACCTGCCCATCTGCTCAGCTATGCTCATGAAGCGATGACTGAAGATGCTCAGCTGTATGGCGTCGAGCTTGCAGTCGACAACTGTGCGATTAGAGGAGCAAATATTTATCACCAGATCGCCGTGCTGTGTCACTTCTGCCACACAATCGGGTTCTACAAGTATGGTGGACAGTTGGTCAATCAAAATGGCTGGYCCATTGATTTTATTGCCCGCCAACAAGCTCGCGGTTAAGTAGATCGGTGAATCATGTGCGCCTTGCTCAAAGAAAATACGTGTATAACCWYTTGGCTTTGGTGTCTCCACCGCCGCTTGCTTGATTTCCAACTCAGGTGGCGTATTGTTCTTACCCAAGCCGCGCACGCGTATATCATCGACAACAATTGCACGATTTTGCAGCACGAAACCGAACTCAGTGCGATAGCGTTGCAGGAATGTGGCAATGAAATCACCATAAGAAACAAGCAATGCGTCTTCTTTACGCGTTGTGGCGGCTGGTGCACACATTAGCGCGCAATCAGTGCCATCATATCTTAAATGTAAGAATGGCTCCAATTCGAKTTTGCTATAACCTTGTGACTGTAAACTGCTGGCGCACTGTGCGGCCAATGCGTCTAAGCGCATCTTCAGGTATGCGGCATTTTCTGCTGAGAACGCCAGACCGCAGGGTTCTTGTGTCTCCTGCACAACATCGGCCAACGCCATGCCGTAGGCAGAAAGTACGCCGGCGTACTTGTGCACAAGCACCTTTTGTTTGAGAGCAATAAGAAATTTTCATGAAAAAATGACGAAAATATTATGTTTATTTACCTTGCTTATGCCCAACTCACGCGCAATGGAGCAGGCGTGTTGACCGCCAGCGCCACCAAAGCATGCCAACACATGTTGTGACGTGTCTAGGCCACGCGCTTGTGTTAGCGCCCTGATGGGACGGCACATAGCTTCGTTGGCGACGCGTATAAAGCCCAAAGCTACATCCTCCACACTCAATGGCTTCGAGTCACCGCCACTTTTCAGGTGTTCATTAATCAGCGTGCGCATTTCGTCGAATTTCGCTTTGGTTACGGCGTAGTCGAGCGCTTCATTTTCTTTGGGACCGAAAATTTTCGGAAAATATTCCGGCAATAAACGACCCAATATCAGATTCGCATCTGTGACGGTGAGTGGACCACCTTTTTTATAACACGCTGGTCCAGGATGCGCACCAGCCGATTCGGGGCCGACTACGAATAGCCCGGAACGAAAGAAGAGCATTGAACCGCCACCGGCCGCTACCGTATTAATATCTAATTGTGGCGCTTGTATGGTGACACCGGCCGTTGTGCTCTCAATCACATGCTCATAGGTGCCAGCATAGCGTGAGACATCGGTCGATGTGCCGCCCATATCGAAACCAATTAGTGGCGCGTTCGTTTCACGCGCACCAGTCATTGCGTATCCGACTACACCGCCAGCGGGACCAGAGAGGATGGCGCGTGCACCGCGRAAGTTCTCCATGCGTACCAAACCGCCATCCGATTGCATGAAGAGCACATCAACGCCAGCCAATTCTTTGTCGAAGCCAGATTTGAAACTGCAAGATGTGGATGCTTTTCACTTATCTAATTTCAAATTATCTACTRTGATAATGTAGGATATGCAGCATRACAATTTACAMAATGTATTTATATGACATTTGYCTTGTCATTAACTGTGTTWGTTGTCTTATCAAGCACAATTTTATTACCTGTTGAGATAACGTTCTACGTGCGGTGTTARATATGCCTCGGCACAGGCTGTGTAACCGCGCGCTACTAAGCGTCGCATTGGCATAGCTTGATGSGAGAGTGTGATGTGCGTAAATCCAAGCTCCTCTGCTATAGCGCCAACTTGCAGCTCATGTACGGGGCACGCAAAGCTATGAGCCAACACCACCGCCACGCTCGTAATGCCCTCGTCGCGCACTTGCTGGAGTGCTGTACGCACAGTCGCCACATTGACGGGATGCATTTCTAAATATTTTGCGCCTGAAGTGCCTTCAAGCAGCGGCCAAGTGTGCTCTATGAAACGAAAGTAGTTTATTTAATTGCAGTAATGCTTGCATAACAACGTGTTTACCTAACTGACAGCGATTTTCCTGCTCTGGCACAATGCGGCAATTAATTTCCACTACGGTTTTATATAAATTGGACGGTTTACGTATATTGAGGTCGAATATTTTTGGACGCGCTTGATTACCAATATACAACAAATCGCGGAAGCCCTCATTCACCACAAGCGCCACAGGATCACCTTTCCGCTCTAGTAATGCATTGGTGGCGACAGTTGTACCCATGCGCACCCAACCGATCTGACTAGTATCCACCAGACCCTCCGCCGTTACATCACGTCCAGTTTGCTAAAGGCGGAATTAATGCATGAAAAATAAAAACAATCAATTTCTGWTTACCATTGTTGAAATAAATTGCTTAATTGCTTTGCAGCCGCTTCATACCTCCTTTAGTATGCGTCTTATACCCTCCCGCGGTGCATCACTATATCGGCTGGGATCCTCTGATAACAACTTCAAAGTACGCACTTTTCCATTTGGACATATGCAAATTACGTCGGTGAAGGTGCCACCGCGATCAATTGCAAAGCAATATTTTGAATTCGTCAATTCAGCCATTATTAACACTTCTTCGTTACAATGTARAGTGTATGTAAGTTGATTATTTCAAAACGTGTATGTATGTATTTGAGCAAATGCGTCCACACTACTTGAAACCCAACTGGATTCTGAGTTTWAAAATAGCTATGTATACGCCTATAAATCGTAAGTGATTAACAAAGACGATAACAAAAAGCAAATACGGTGTGGTTGAAGATCAAATGAAGATATTTCAACAGCTGAACTTAAAGCACAATAATACAATTAGGACTTCWCAAAACAAATAATATTTTGATAACAACTATTCAGCTGTGTGATAGCAGCAGTGAGTGTTGCCACGCGTTAGCAGCAGCATTTATACCGGCCACAGTTCGATAGACGTCTACTCAAACATTTATCGATAAATGGTCATGTAAGCAGCTGTACGATTGTGAAATACTGTGAGTGAAGTAGAATAAACAACCTTAGCTTAGAAGCTTAGCTAGAAATATGTTTATTTATGAAATTCGTGGCTAATCATAACATGTGTGTGTGAAGCTTTATAGATTGTCCCACTAGATGTAAGCGTAGCTCTCAATTAAGCGCGTGATAGTTTTATCAATTCATTGTCAACAGGTGTGCCTTATATCATTCTCACAATGTATAAACATATAATATGAACTATGCCTAAATGATCATATAATGAATGGGGACGTACATATGCATGTGTATATAGGTTTATTATAGGTAAAGGTGATAATACGCGGTAAGAGATGTGTTCAACATGATGCCGACTATTAATGAGATATACATACATATGTACTTGTACTTAGTTGTTTTCTGTTATTCAAATCATTATGTATGGCAGGTGGAAAATGAGGGCACTACTACAAATTACAAATTTAATTCGAAGTTTGTTATACCCGAATACCCTATAGAAGGTTAGGTTAGGACAATCTGGTAGTCCAATAAGCCACACATAGACCAGTTTGAWCCTTTGCGATACAAGATGAAGTCCAGTTGCTAAGTCCAATAGGAGTAGGACCCTATAAAACAAAAGTACATAAAAGATCTATCATACAAAGYCAACGTTCGGAATCAGGTGCTTGTGTAGAAAACTTTAATTTGACTCAATTAGGTATGAGTTATCAATTATGGCAATAGTGAATTAAATGGTCCAGATCGGGTCATTATAGCATATAACTGCCATACAAACTGACCAACCAAAATAAAGTTATTGTATGAAGCTTTTTTATTTGTGAAAAGTGTTCTAGCTTCGGTGCAACCACCGTAACGGTTTTTTTAGTTTTTAACTAAAACATCAAAAATGCTCAGCTGATATTGGTTATCATATGGCATACTCAAAACTTAAWACAGTTAYGTACAAATGTATATGGCATGCTCAAAACTTAATACAGTTATGTACAAATGTATATATACTTAC